CACGTACCGCACAATTTCCTGCAAACAGCCCAGCAGAGTGTCCGGATAGGTGCATGCTGAAGCAGTCACCAGTGTTCACATAAAAGGTAAAATAGACACGTTTGGTCATTTTCCAAGACAAATGCAGGAGTTTGTGTCAGAGCAAGAATACATATTCATGACTCCCTTAATCTTAATTCTGTGCTCAAAACTCTAATAGCATCATGGCTGCTTTTCACCTAGATAAGTGTTGAATTTTAATAATACTAAATATCAGAATAGTAAAAGAAAAGAATACTAAAAAACTTCTAAAATGAGGTTCCATTTATTTATTTTGCTCATTAGCCAAAGATAAAGGCAATTGTTACGGCTTTCTTTGCTATGAATGTTCTCTTCCATAGCAAGAGCATCTAAGAAAAGTGAATTAGAAGGACAGAAGTTAAAAACCCAAGTCCAGCTATTAAACCTGTTTTCTGTAACAGTGGGTATCCCAACCGGGCTTTCACTTAGGAAAAAAGCAAAAAATCAAGCCCCAGATGTTATAATTATGCCCAGCTCTATCATTCAGGTTTTGGCATCTTTATCTAGTACTTCTCCCTCTCTTCCAACAACAATTTTCTTGCCTTAAATTTGGAATGAATACATTAATTTTTACTGCCTGCCCCACTTGCTGACTGCTGCAGTTCATACTGTCTAGTCTGTATTGCCATGTTGTTTTTTAAGTATGTATGTTCCATAACTTGGAGCTTAAACATATCTGACAGCACAGAAAGTAGGAGGAAACGTGAAATATATCCACCAACTCATCTCCTACACCTCTACAGAGAGCGTACACACCTTCAGAGGTGGAGGTCAATTTGTTAATAACTATCCCGATTTTACAGCTAAGAAGGCAGAAAATGCATAAAGTCAGGTATGTCTGCTCCTATCCCCACTTCAAAAAATTGCTCATTGAACAAATAATTATTAACAGATCATTCAGCACGCAAAAAAAAACTTTTCAAAGCCATTTAAAGGGACCTTCAGACAAACAGCTAGGTCTGAATAAAGCCAGAAAACATGCTGCGAGATAAATCTCCGGGTTTCCCACTATTTTCTGTGGCACAGCCTCCATTACTAGGAGCAAAGAAAAGAGTCAATACAGGCTCAATAATATCAATATACGCATAAGTATTACATATTGACATTAAAACTTTTGGGCAGGATCATAAGAGGCAGGTATTACAAAATATGTCCGGTTCCCAGCATGGGTTTAAAGTGTGACTTACTCAATTTCACCTGTTTTTCTCTTAACAAAATACATACTAAGTAATTTAAAGATATATATTAAAACTCATATTCAAATTATGTGCCCCTCCTCTCTCATAAAGCGCACATTTGTCAAGAAACAGAATTCCAGAGGCAGCAGGGAAACAAAATAAACAAAAGTGCTTTGTACGCGCGGAAAATGTTCATTCTGTTCTGACAAGTTCCTCTTGGGGTGGTAACCGTCACTCACATCCAGTCTAGAAATCTCGCTTCCCACAGAAGACGCTCGCTCCTTTTCCACCATAACAGAAGTTCCTCTCCTCCCAACCCCCATTTTTATGCGTCTAAGTCATAAAGCCATAGGAAACGGGGCAGCAACGTTCACATCTCAGACAAGTTCCTCTTTTTTTTTTTTTTCCCTCCTTTTTTCTGTTGCTGCTTAAAAGAATATGACTGTCACAGAGAATGTCGACAGGAAAAAAGTAACAGCGGAAAGAGTTTTGACTCAATGTCAAGAGATGTATCAAAACATGAAAACAGTATAAATGCCGCAAGTTAAACAGTTGCTTACAATGATTCACAATAATGAATTTTTAAAGGAGACATAGAAATGACAGCAAGTCATTCACAATGTGTCAGGAACTTGCATCACTGGACTTCTAATTGTTACAATATTTCCCATCAAATTACTTGTAGCGCAATGATGCCATAGGCAATTATCATTGGCAGAAATATTTTGCGTGTGTGAACAGACAAACAGATGGAGCTCCAAAGTCCACCATTATTCTCAACAAGTATCTATCGCACTCTGGAGTGAATAACATGTTGAAGAAAATGGTATTTTGCAGTTCAACTCAAACAGCATATACTCTCTCTAGAAGGCAATGCTGTAATCCCTGAAGCACTGGTTTTATTTCAGACTTCCTATTTTTTAAAGATAACAAAAAATAAAGCGTTCTGAGAATATGTATGCTCCTCTCCCGTAAAGTGCTCAGGAGGACATCAGGAGCTGGCAGACAAAAGAGATGAAAAATACGAAGCACCTAAAGAAAAGTTCTCAAATTGCAGTCTAGGGACTCCCAAAGAATTGTAAAGTTCTTTTCATGAGCTGCAAGAACACAAGAGCACAAAGAATCTCATAGAAAAGATAAGGAAAAAAAAAACGTATAAAAAGGACATAATGGGCCTTTTTCATATGGCAGTGTCACTTAGAGTGGCATGCAAACGGAACTTGTATGGGAACCACTAAGCTAAGGCATGAGTGTTTGGCAGCACTACTGTTTCTAAGGTTAGAAAAAAAGAAGGAAAAAGAAAAAAGTGTCATCACACATACACCACACAAAACTATGCAAGTATTCCTATTTTACAGTATTTTAACTTTGCTAAAATCTTAAAACAACGCTATATAACAACACCTCTCTGGAAAGCAACCGAGTAAGATCCAAATTTGTCCTAGTTTTGACGACATCTCCGTTTATTTCTCACTTTTGCCCAGGCACGTGCTAGCCCCAGAGCGAGCGAGCGCGCCGGCACCCCGCGCAGAGGAGCGGCCACGAGGCGCCGCGGGGCCCGGA